TTGCAGATCGACATAGCAGTGGCCTTTGACAGGAGCATTTAACGATGCTGAGGCCATTGAGACGCGTCCCGAGGAAGGGATTATGGGTATGTTTCTCGATTGAACGTAGGACAACGCAATAAAGCTCTCAGAACTACCAGTGTCCACTAGCGCATCCGCCCACGCGTCGCCGACCAAAATTCGGATGGTAGATTTGGTCAGTCGCGGATGAGAATCAGCTATTACGACGGGCTCATCGATGGCAGACACGACAGTTTTCTTGACCGCAGAAGATTTACAAACTTTGGCCCAATGGCCGGTTTTATTACGCAGGTTGCATACCGAGCTTTTGGCCGGGCACTTTTGTCGGGGGTGTTGATCGCCACCGCAGAAGTAGCACTTCGCGCGGCCATTTCGTTGTACCGCATTTAGCTGGGCGGAATCGACGGATTCCATTGACGAGGAATTGATACTCAACTCATTTGAAGCGTTGTAGGAGCTGGATTGCAGTTGAGCTGCTTCGGGCTTGGTCGTAAGCCTGTTGGAGCGATAGAGCGGCGTTCTCCAACAGGCGTTGTCGGATGGTTCCGGAAGTCAAGCCGCTTATGAAAGAATCACGTATGTACTCCTCCCTATATGTCTCAGCGTCAACGGCTCTGAAGCCACAGTTCTTGCTAAGCGACCTCAAATCTTGTAGATACCGGTCGATGTTCTCGTCCATCTGTTGCCTCCGGGTGGCGAGGAGATGGCGGGCGTATACCGTGTTGACCTCCTTCACGTATATCCCGCTCAGCGTAGCCACGGCCTCGGGGTATGTGGTACATTCGGATATCAAGTCGTAAACGGCCGGAGACACGTAGTTGACGAGAAGATTGAACCTGGAGGAATCGTCGAGCGCTATGCTTCCGTCCGGCGTCTGCACTCTGGCGACTAGGGCGAAGTTCTCGAAAGTTTGCAGCCAGTGCTTCCATTCTTGCGAAGCTTTAGGAGCACCGGGGTCAGCATCGAATCATTGAGGGCGAAGGAGTTGATCCATGAGATACGATTCTGTTTAATAAATTGTAGTGAAAACAGACCTTTCTTAACTGAGGCTTTATTAAACAGAATGACAATAAAATGTGAATAACAATAAATAGCAACGAAATAAAAGATATTGTTACCCAGATACGGGTTAGTATTGATAATAAAGTATAAGTACGTTAGCATACTAAATACTTCACGTCACGTTGCAAGAATGCTCGGCCAATTCGATGTTACTTTATGGAAGTTTTGATTTCGGTCTTTTCGGTCTTTTTCCGTTGTCTAGTTTTCTTTTTCGGCATTTTCAGAAGTTTTTCTTCGCTAAATTTCCTATTTACTCTTCGATTATTCCGAACCTAACCTCAAACGTCACTCATCTGCTGTCATTACTGTCACATTCAGTGTTGCACAAAGTGTAATAGATTTGAAGTATTGAAAATTCTCGGAAAAAGAAAAGAAAAATTATTAAAAAAAGTAAAAAAAAAGTGCTTCTGTACTTCTCTGTACGTACAGAAACGTGTTTCAAGATAGTTGTTTGACAGATTTTTAGAACTTGAAAATTGTAATAGATTTTTGTGTACTAGATCTGAAATATTGTCTTTTAGTATTTCATAATTATATACATAGGCATTCGGAAAAAGAGAAGAAGAATTGTTAAATAAAATTCAAAAAAGTACTTATGTACTTTTCCGTACGTACAGAAATAGCGTAATAGATGAATCTTCATTGTAATAGATCTATTACGATTGTAATAGCACTGGCAACACTGCTCGTATTTGTAAGAAGCTTCAGTTCGCTGTCGTAAATTATAAGGTCTAGAAACTGGAATGGTGCGTAGTTTGCTAAAACAACCGGTAGGATATTTTTTGGATTCAACATTTAGATTGCTAGAGATTGTCACAATTTAGATGTTTACAGAGCTTATATTGAAGTAAACTATTCAACTATAGTTTCATCAACTAGATAACGCCAATAAAATTATTCGAGTTTCCAGACCTTGTAGTATACGATCGTGCTTTTGTTTATTGGCCATTTCTTTGCACCGTTTTCGTTTTAGGGATTTTTTTAACATATAAACAGATAATAGTACTAAATAGTACCTATTTTGTCTACGGTGTATGTACATACGACAATTCTCTACTCAATTTTCTCCACCTTTTACCTGTTATATCAATTGAGCCGATTGAGGGTTTGTGATTGGTCATCCCCACATAGGGTAATCCCAGATAAAGAGAGGAATATTTGGCAACGTCGCATTTTCCACAAATTCCACAGCACAGCGCTTTTTTACTTCTTTCTTCACTGGAAGTCTGAATCTAAACTCCCTGTATCTGTTCGAGAGCCTTACTAAATTAAAACGTAGTGAGAAATTAATTCATCGAGATTAGTTACTGTTTCAGTTGTGTTAATTGGTTCACCGGAAAAATAGCAAAGGTCTGTATAATTATTACATAAATTATAAGTTTATTTAGGTGTTAAATAGTTAAAATATCGATAAATATTGTTTTTATTAAATCGTTAATATCGTGGAAATGGCTTTATAAAACACAATTGTCTTTTATATACCGAAATAAATGATTATTTTAATTCACTTTAACTATAATTGGAAAACACTTCTGAACTATCCAAAGACTAAAAGAAGAAATTCAATTTTTTTATAATATGTTCGTTAGTAAATTCTCTCATAAAAAATGGCGACTCGGTAGGTAATTAAAAAAAAAACAAATATCGAGTCACGTACAGTTTTGCTTATAATGCAAACTAAACAGGAAGATGTATTTTTGCTTAATAAACTATTTCTTTATTTTCAACAATAAGTTGTATCGATTATTTCGTTTATTCAAGTTGATCGTTAAATATTCGGTGAAGCACCGGCAGACATGTTGCTTTTTTTATTAGAAAATTCTATTTTTTTTTTTTTCCCAACACAAGCTTTTTCGCCACGTTTATGGTACGGTAAAATCATTTTGTAGCCAGTCTAGCAGGCGGTCTACCATAATTTTTGCGGTCTACCCATACATATTTCGTCGTCCAAGTAAATTTAAATACTTTGACAGGTGTCATATTTTGCAAAATTGATGTACTGGTTGTGAAACATGTCTCACAAAACTGCAAATATTAAATTTGTCCATTTAAACTTTTTTTTCTATTTCCAAACAGATTTATGTATAGTAAACATCGAAAGAAAAACTCAACCTCCATAATTCTGATTCCTCCGCAATTCTCAATAAATTGAATTACTTACTTGCTCTTCCAAACATAAATTATTATATACTCGTAATACAGGGTGTCCCAATGAAAAATATCCCCTTTAAATACAAAAATTAATGGGCTAATAATTTTTAAACGCCTAATCATAAAACTTGCGGTTTTCGAATATATATTTTAATTTGCTATAACTTTTTGTAGCAGTAACACAAAAATTTCGTATCGCCTGTACAGGGTGTTTCATAAAACTTGTAATAAAATAAAACATTTTTGAGAAAACCATTTTTGAGAAAACTTTTCATTGGGACACCCTGTACTAGTAAAATCTTTTCGTTTGTTTAATGAAGATACCTAGGTATATTTAAGTTTAAGTAAATACTGGTACTTCCCCAATTCTCTGTAAATTGAATTACCCACATGCTATTCTATAAATAATAACAATAACATTTTTTTCTTAGCTTAATTTAGGATCAATTTTCAAAATCTTGCTGTTGTACTTTTGTATAAAAGAAAATTGGGTAGACCGCTCCCTCATTTTTTTACTCTTATTACATCTATTCTTTATATTTTATAGAACTTTTATTATGCCTGTTGAGATAAGCTTCGGAATACTTACTGGTAAGTAGGCAATTCATTTTACATTTCTTCAATTTAAATTGACTCTTCATTACAGTCAGCGACAGCAGTTATTCGGGTAAAGGCAATGATTCATCAAGTCCTGAATTAAAAGAAGAAATATTAAAGGAGTTTCCATCGGCCGAAATAAGCGCAATAAAAATCGTACCAGACGATTTGCAGGAAATTAAATCGACTCTTACAGAATGGTTCGACTTGAAAATCAACGTAATATTCACAACAGGCAATCTACCAGACATGATCTTTGCTATGATTATCAGTAGCTTGAAGATCAATCCAATGGCGATGCTCTCCAGACCCTTGAGCTATATTAAAGACAACACGATGATAGTAAATCTGCCGGGAAGCCCCGAAATGATTTCGGAATGCTTCGGTATCATCAAGGAAGCCTTACCCCGCGCTTTGGAGCTCCTAACAGAACAGAAGAAATCTGTGGTTTCTGGTCACGGAGCCATGCAAAGCGACTCAGGAGCATCCGTTGTCCCAACCACCAGCCCTAGTAAGGTAATTTATAAAATTAACAGCTTCGATATCAGCGAAAGTACTATTACTCAATTCGAATTTGTCTTTATTTTCGTAGGTGAAACTGGCTTCATTAAGAAAATACCGCTACCCTATTATCGATGTTGAATATGCTTCTGCTATTCTGCTTCTGCGGTTAATTATTAAGGATATTTGTTTTGATAAAGAGGAAACCACAGAAACGGTGCCTTTGGAGAGATCGCTTAATCGAATTGTAGCAGAAGATATTCATGCTGAAGAATCGATTCCTTCATTTGCAACTTCGATTATAGATGGTTACGCTGTTAAAAAGAGCGATGGCAAAGGAATACGTGTTGTAAAGAATGTCACAACTGCAGAAGATAAGGTATGTAGATACATTTACAAGATTTCTAAAGAATGAGCTCATTAGAATTGTAATAAATGGAGTTTCTAATGTTGCAGTCAATCGATAAGGTTCTGCAGTCAGGCGAAGCGAAAACAATATCGATGGGAGATCCAATTCCTGCGGAAGCAGACGCAGTGGTACCATTGGAAGATACATCAGTTGTTGAATATTCGATTGATGGTTCTGAAGTAATTAAGGTTGAAATCAAAAGAGCACCCAACTATAATGAAAACATAAGGCGAGGGAACATTTTTAATACAATTGTGGCATATTTAGTAATTTTTTTAGAATAATCGGAAGCGACGTATCGAAGAATTCTTTGGTTTTAAAAAAAGGCGAACGTATCAAACATTTCTCTCTTGGAGTTTTAGCCATGTTAGGAAAAACAAATATTTTGGTTTATAAGTAAGTTGAAATATTCAGTTTCCTAAAAGTTCCCTCCTTTACTGTAATACATTTTTTTCTAGACGCCCTTCTATAGGAGTCATATCAATTGGCAATTATATTTGTGAACCTAAAGAAAAACTAGCCCCTGGCAAAATCAGAGATGCAAATAGATTCACCTTAATTAATTTGCTTAAAAATTACCGTTATAAATCAAACGATTGTGGTATAGCTAAAGACAAGTAATAATTAATCCTGATGTATTTGATCCTTTTTTAATACAATAATTTTTAGTCCTGATGCAATAAAGCAAGCTCTTGAACAAAGTTTTACTCGTAACGATGTTATTATAACGAACAGTTCAATGGGAGAAGTGGACATGTTGAAACGGGTCCTCGTTGAGGATTTTCAAGCTACTATACATTTTTCCAGAGTAAACATGAAACCCGGGTAAGTCAAAGTTTCGTAATTTGAAAGATTTCAATGATTCAATGATTATCATTGTATTATAGAAAATACACGACCTTTGCGACACTTATGTATAATGAAACATGGAAAATGGTGTTTGGCATAACGGATAATCCATTTTCCTGTGCAATAACTTGTATATTATTCGTTATTCCTGCTCTACGCTTAATGGAAAAATCTCCCTTCAAACATTTTGTACATATTTCTATACCACCAAATTCATTTAATATAGTAAGTAAAAATTTTGTTAACAGTGAAATAATTATATTCGAAATACGTTTTGTTTGAAATAACTAAGCTCCACTTTTTCCTAAAAACTTTATTTTTCTAATACAATCCGTTCGCTATCAGGAGATACTAATAAAACCTAAATTTGCAAATAATATGAAAAGTAGGTAATTAATATGGAAAATACATTAGGCGCGAATTAATGAAAAAAAATCATAAAATTCCAAAACGTTACCGCTTTTAACATTGTATAATTGTTATGTTTATTTTACTTCATTAGTTCTCTCAGTATACAGGGTATTACCTGTTACTAGGTTGCATTTATTTGTTAGTGCCCCTATAATTTACTGTTTTATTATTTTTTTACTATTTCTTGATAGAAAACGGAGTATAGAATATAATATTACAATAAATTTCATTTTTTAGCGTTCGTTACCATATAATAATGATGATTGTCCAGAGTACCGACTAGTTAAAGTAAATAGGACTTTGACAACTGCAAAGGAAGTACCAGGCGTATTAAGTAATTTAGATAAAGCAAACGGTTTACTTATACTTGAGCCAAATAAAGATTACTCAATTAAAGATTCAAAAGGAGACTATCGCAATCTTTACAATGTAATATTATTTAATGAGAATTATTATCAGTGAAATGGGCTGTATTATTAAATACAATTTCTGTTTTTTTTTAATTCATTTTAAAATAATACCAATTAATACGTTCTTTTGATCAGTTAACAGTTCTTTTAATTTTTTCAGTTTCAGTTTATAATAAAATATTTAATTAGTATTTTTGCTTTATTTAACCCTTATTGAAAGATTGTTTGTTGTGTTCTGTGAGTACGAGCCCAGTCGCATATGAATTGGATCAAAACAAATATTCTACACAATATTACTTTCCCGTGTAAACAGTTATTTTATATTAATATCAAATAGTTAGGTAGTATCCGATCAATTAGTAGTAGCAAAATTACTGTTAACTCAAAAAAATAAAATTGTGTAGAATATTTGTTTTGGTGAATATTATATTTTTTACGAGAGTATTATGTTTGTTGTATTATGTTGACTAAGTTCATATAAAAATTGATCCACAAACGCTTCATTACCGATCTACCGAAATTTCAAATTTTATTTTGATATTTATTGAGCTCCTGCAGTTTTGGAGATATTATCCAATTGTTCTTCACAAATCGCTTTTAAACGTCCAGTTGCTCTTCTAAAACCGGTTCTAAATCGCTCTAAAATTGTTTTATAACCGCTCTAATTGCTTGCTCTTCTAAGCCCACCAAAGATTTTGTAGAAGATCCTTTGTCCCCTATAAACATCCCAATTTTGTAAGATTCTCACTTGCTTGGATTAACAATCCTTTTACAATTTAACCTTTAATAGATGAGGAAATAGAGGAGGCGGATGAGGAATAAGGTACTTTGGAGATTGTAAAATGGTAGAAAATGATTTAGGTTTGGGAATAGGAGCTTTGGAAATGTTTTTTTTTGGTCATTTTGTTGAAAATTGTCTATTAGTTTTTTGTAGGGTATTGTGGGTCTATTAGGAAACTTTCTGTTGAATAAATCTATTCCAAATCTATTCTAAAAAGTTTTAAATTATTCTAAACAGTTCTTAATGTTTCTGGAGCATTCTAAATTGTTCCAGACGGTTCTAATTCATTCGCTACAGTTCTAAATAATTCTAGACATTTCTAAATGATTCTGGGTTGTTGTAAATGATTCTAAAAAGTTCTAAATTATTCTAAACAGTTCTTAATCTTTCTGGGGCATTCTAAATTGTTCTAGACGGTTCTAAATCATTCTTTACAGTTCTAAATGATTCTAAAGAGTTCTTAATGATTCTGGCGCGAGTAAAAAAGTTCATTACTTATAAAAATTGTTTTTAAAAAATTTAATTCTTCACTAAAGACTATAAAAGGTTCAATGTACTATTTTTATGATAATTATTTTAACTATTTCTACCTCGAAAAAATACAATCTAAGAACTGATATGAACTGAACAAAAGTGTTCTTACAAAATTAACAAGAATTTGGTCCAGGACAATTTAGAGTGCTTCTGGATGCATTAAAACTAGTTCAGAACAATTTAGAGTACTTCAGGATTAGAACTATTATTGCATTAGAACTATTTAGAACTTAAATTTAATCGAAATCCATGCATTAATATTAAGAAAAACAAATGTCGCTACAAGTTTAAAAAAATCTATTTGAACTTGAGTGGATGAATAAATATTATTTTGATAATATTCGTTAACTCCCTAGAAGACATTGGCGGCAATGAATAAATATTATTTTAATAAGGTTTATGTGAAATTTCTATTTTTTAATAAGGATGTTAAGAAAATCTTTTATTGATCACCAAACGAAAATATTATAATAAATGTTCGATATACACTGTTAGAAATTTAATTTCGCATAATAGGGAAATCATTTAAAACTACATTTAATAGTCCTTTTTTGGGGATATTTCAAAAAAATAAGTGTATCGGTAGGTACAGTTTTGAAAGAGCAACAAATTTTGTTGAAATAAGGGAAAAAATAATTCAATTTTCAGCTAGAATTATACCTCAGCTCAGTAATATGGGATGACATCTGTATGACAGGTTTGGCTATAGTTTAGCAGAAAGCGGTGGACTATTTTTTAAAGTTCTTTTATTTTCTGTTTTAAAATAATGTTTAAGTTTATTTTTGGAGTTTCCTTTTTATTATTTTCTTAGAATTTACTTTCTTTTTCAAGCCATTGTGGCAAAAAGACATATCTACATAATTCTATTTTATTATTAGTGATATTTTTTCAATAAATTATCGTTTAAAAATTCTCATTTCTTTTTAATCGACTCGACGTTCACCCATTCGAACCCGTTTTGATACTGTCGAAGTGTCGAAACCGTCGAAATTATTTGATTTTTAATCTAACCAAGCCAAATCCCGGTGTGAAGTCCAGTAGAACAATTAAATTTATTAGAATTTATCGCGACGTTCTATCCCTATTATGCGCGAATAATTTTCCAACAGTGTATATGGGAACCCTGTCGTTGAATACACTAATAAAACATAAAGAGGATATTTCTTTGCACTCTAAAAAGCATTTTTTCATTTCACAATAAAAAATTATTCTGTCCATCTCTTGTTTGTATCGGTGTTGAGTACACGGAATTTTTAAGATAAAAAAAATATAAAAATTGCATTACGATAATGCCTAACATCCATTTGAAAATTTATTGGATCTATTGTTTTCTTTCAGTATTTTTAGTAAAGAGTTACAAATAATAACAGTTTGTCCAGAATTTTTGTTTATCCAAAAATTTCTCTCTATACCTATCATCTCAATCAAAAAATTAATATTTCTCAAAAAACGTTAATTTTATCAACTTTAAACAAAATTACTTTTTTGTTAGTTTTTCGATTAAATAATGTATTTAAGACATTTGTTTGCTTTATACAGATTGTACCCATAAAGGTTAATCGAATTGTTAATCACTGTGACAGAAGAAGGGATGTATCGGGACTGAAACAGATTCCGATAAGCTTTCAGCTACCCAGTTTTATAAGTTAGATAAGTATTCCGAAACCCACCCATAATCAAATTACCTATACACCCCAAAAAAGAACCCAATGACCACCCACACGGGATTCAACCCCCCATTTCGACAAAATGCTCCCCAAAAAACCATTTCAACACCCCCTAATCCCAAGACAAAATCATTTTCCTCCATTGTTCAATCTTCCCCTACCACCCGACAATGGATACAAACCAACTCAAGTTACCCTACGAATCTACCCCCTCACCCTCCAAAATACCCTCTTCCTCCTCCGCCTCTTTTATTTCCTCTTCTACCTCCCTAATTACCTCACCCCCTCTTATATTTTCGCCTATTTCACAAGCACCTACCCCAACCCTCACCCCTCAACAACCACCCCTCAACTCCATAATAATCCGAAATTTACCTCTAAAATAATGCTCCCAAAAGGAACTTTTCCTACTTCTTAACACCAACGAACTCCTTTTAAATGAAATCACCTACCTCAAAGCCAACTTTAATCAAACCGGTGATAATAACATCATCTTCATAACATCATTAATATCATCAAACCTATTAGGTTTAGTTATAGGGAAGTAAACATTAACTTCCCCCAATTTTTTACCGCTGATTTTAATAAAACAAAAAAAAAATGGGTGATTCCATTTAAAAAAATGAAGAATATTGATATTTTTGAAGTTCAAATTTTCACATTTTTTATACACACCCTGTATACAAATAGGAGGTTTTCAACACAAGTTCAAATACCTTTGATCTGTGGCGCCCCTGCAGAGGCCCGCGCCTAGGCGACGCAAACAGCTCCTCGTGGCCCGTTAAGTATTCGCCGTCTGCCTGAGACGTTAAAGGCCACGAGCGAGTTGACAGACGACAGACGACGGACAAACGGAAGCCGGGACTTCACTTCTTCAGGCCATACCTGCCACTCTGACTCCGCAGGGTCGCCTTCGACTGCAGCCACGGTCTCTCCCATCCGAGCGGAAGAGCCACAGCCAACCGCCTCGCCGAGAGATTCTTCTGGCCAGGACTCCGCAAGGACGTGATTCGCTGGGCCCGACAATGCCACCCATGTCAGGTCGCCAAGGTCCACAGGCACAACCGAGCCGCCCTAGGGAACTTCAACGCACCGGATAGCAGGTTCGAACACATTCATATCGACCTAATTAAGCTTCCTCTGGTTCAAGGGTACCAATACTGCCTGACCATCGTGGACCGATACAGCCGCTGGCCCCAGGCAATCCCGCTGACAGATCAAACCGCCCCGTCAGTCGCGAGGGCACTCCTCGAAGGGTGGATCAGCACTTTCGGCACACCTCTGTCGATTACGTCCGACCAAGGAAGACGGTTCCAAGCTCACCTGTTCGTCCAACTTCGCACGCTACTGTGCGCGAATCACAAATTCACCGCTCCGTACCACCCCCAATCAAGCGGGATGGTGGAACGCCGCCTACACAGAACGCTCAAGGCCGCGCTGATGTGCTGTCCGGATACCCCATGGCCGCAGGCGCTTTCGACAGTTCTCCTAGGCCTCCGCACCACCTTCAAGCCAGACCTTCAGGCATCACCGGCAGAGATGGTTTTTGGGACCGCCCTCCGCATCCCCGGAGAACTCCTAGCCTCTCAAGATGCTCCCACGGATCAAGTGGAGTTCGTTTCCAAACTCCGCAAACTTTTCGGCTCCATCCGCCCAGTTCCGGCCTCTCGTCACTCCGAGCATCGGCCTTTCAGAATCGCCTAAACGACAGGACATTCATCGTTGACGTCAACGGCACAGAAAAGGCCGTCTCCACGGACTGCCTCAAACCGGCCTACTCCGACCAACCAGGCGACGCGGACACCAGCACCCCGCCGCCAGCGACGCCTTCACCGACGCCAGCGACGCATTCACCGCCGCCAGCGCCGTTCCTGCTGCCAGCGACGCCTTCGCCGCCGCCAGCGGCGTCCTCACCGCCACCGACAGTTTCTTCACAACCCTTATTACGGCCTATCCTCGGGCACCCAGCAACGCCAAGAGCCGCCAAGAGGGTCACTTTCTTCGTACCGCCCGCCTCCAGCGAACGTCACTGGGGAGGGAGTCCTGTGGCGCCCCTGCAGAGGCCCGCGCCTAGGCGACGCAAACAGCTCCTCGTGGCCCGTCAAGTATTCGCCGTCCGGCCGAGACGTTAAAGGCCACGAGCGAGTTGACAGACGACAGACGACGGACAAACGGAAGCCGGGACTTAAGAGGGGCGTTGAGATTTGGTAACCCAATTTCAGTTGGCAGCAATGAAAATAAGCCCGATTTTTCGGTGTACAAATCTCAAGTTTTACTTAATTTTGAGATATAATATGAATCGCATCTGATAGAGTGAACCTTCCTGTAGGTCATAAAGGTCTAAATTTTACAGATCTATGCAAAAATAACGAAATTACAAGCGTTTGAAGGTAGACATTTTTCAGTTTTTTTTTTCTAACGGACGGTAACCAAAATCCTTTATGACCTAGCGATGGGTAATAGAAATGTATTGTGAAAATTTGGAAACGATATTCTTTATATTTTTTGAGATTTGTACACCGAAAAGTCTGGATTTTGGAAAAAACTTCATCGATTTGCCGCTAGGGGATACCGAAAATGATACGTTTATGTATGTTCTACGATACTGTGGATACCTTGGTAATGCAGGTTGCATACGCTCAAGTAGATCTGAGCTTTAGGAGGATAAAAAAAGGGTTATTCATGAATATACGATATTTGTGCACTTAACAAGGCATACTGTTTGTATTACATTAGACAAATTTAGGAGAATTGAGGGAATTCAAGCGAAAATTTATAGTAAGTGTCATTGCTGCCAACTAAATAGAGTATTGACATAAGACATAAGACAAGATGTCAAATTGATTTTTTGGTTATGTTTACATTAAAATATTTACATTTACTATATTTTACTTTATCGAGTTATTACTTTGTAGTTGCAATTGAACAAACAATAACTAATTATGAAGATACGTTATTGTATTTGGATATCATGCATTTATTTATTTGTTTGTAAAACAATATTCGAAGATTGATAGAAGATAGAAGACTAGAATGAAATCAACATTTATCACAGCGTGCACTATTTAGGTATATTTTTCATATTCATCATTGGCATACAAATTTAGTATGGAATTTTTTTGATTTGCAACTTTCCACTTATCAGTTATGAGATATGATATGACTTACGTTCAATTCAACTATCATGCTTAATTTGTTGTACCTGTAAGGAAAAGAATTCAAACATTTCATTTGTGTAAACATGTTTTAATACTACTAATTTATTACTACTTTAACAATTTTTTACACCTAATGTTATCTTCTTCATTACATTTCTTTGTTTTTCCCTCTGGCATCTTGGATCTTCTTCCCCTCGTATCACTAGAAAGATTGGAAATGTTCTCAGTTGAAAAAACAGTTGATATACAAGTTTCATCGGACCACTTTTCTCTTCTTCTATCTTCGGAATATGTTTTATCGGGCATCTTATAGGGTAGGTTGATCATTAAATCTGTACTTGAAAATTGTCCTGCACAGGTCCCCACCCAAGTCCTACGACCCCAGAGTGGCTGTACTAGAACTATTTCACTTACAAATTCATCGGAGGCATATTCATTATCGGAGTGTGTGTTCGGTGTACTTGTTGTTGTATCGGGCATCTCATAGGGCAGGTTGATGATTAAATCAGTACTTGAAAATTGTTCTGTACAGGTCCCCACCCAAGTCCTACGACCCCAGAGTGGCTGTACTAGAACTATTTCACTTACAAATTCATCGGGGGCATATTCATTATCGGAGTGTGTGTTCAGTGTACTTGTTGTTGTATCGGGCATCTCATAGGGCAGGTTGATGATTAAATCAGTACTTGAAAATTGTTCTGTACAGGTCCCCACCCAAGTCCTACGACCCCAGAGTGGCTGTACTAGAACTATTTCACTTACAAATTCATCGGGGGCATATTCATTATCGGAGTGTGTGTTCGGTGTACTTGTTGTTGTATCGGGCATCTCATAGGGCAGGTTGATGATTAAATCAGTACTTGAAAATTGTTCTGTACAGGTCCCCACCCAAGTCCTACGACCCCAGAGTGGCTGTACTAGAACTATTCCAAGTAGATTTCTATTTTGTCCAGATTTTTATTTTCATTTGTCGAAAATAAATTTGGAATGGATGCTCCATTTGGTGGTTTCTTCTCCTGGTAACTTCTAATTGCCTCCTGGACATAAGGTGGGTCAATACATTTCAACCCTCTACCTATACAATTCCTAATTATTTCAGGAGCAACACATTCCATGTAGAATTGTTGTAATTTTGGTAACATAACGTTATTCCAAAACTCAATATCCTTATAAATTTGTTCGATATACAAATTGATGTGATCACCAACGTACACAACTAGGTAGCATTTGTTTCTGTTTGTGATGTTCAACTGGCCCTGTATCTACAAAAAAAAAATAAAATTATTGTATCTCCTATAAGATAACATGGTAAATTACATACCTGGTAGTAATAATTGTGATTTCTCTTCAGTTGAATTTTGTTGTCCCGTTTCTCCAAGCAAATTTTATTCCCCAGTAAGTCAATGACTTCATCAAGCGTCGAAGTCGTTGCAGGGAGTTTTGAAGCCGAGTGCAGGCATTTGACCTCAATAATAGCATCGTTTCCTATCAAACCTAGAACGAGAAATATATCGTATAATTAAAAATATATCTAATATTATTTTACATTATTATTTAAATTAATTAACTACTTTAACTTAATATTTACCATCAGGCGAAGCTGCAAGATACGGATTTTGTGTGTCGATCCACAATCCGGACTCCGAAACTTGCAGATTCTGTGATTTTTCGAAAATCCCTTTAGCCACCTTCTCTTTCAGTATGCCGTATTCCATAGCTTCCGTCATACAGTTGCTTTGTTTTAAAATGGACCTAACAAGTGCGTGACATGGTGTGTGCTTCTTCCTCTTTACAACTCTACCAAATAGTGATGCTGTCAGTCTGTGTTTTCTTTCGGATTCGTATACCTCGTTGCCAAACTGCCCTATGGAACTTATTTGTATACGATCCCTATCAAGTTCTGTTACCTGCGTATTAAAAAATTTACCGTCAATAATAATAATAATAATAATAATAATAATAATAATAATAATAATAATAATAATAATAATAATAATAATAATAATAATAATAATAATAATAATAATAATAATAATAATAATAATAATAATAATAATAATAATAATAATAATAATAATAATAATAATAATAATAATAATAATAATAATAATAATAATAATAATAATAATAATAATAATAATAATAATAATAATAATAATAATAATAATAATAATAATAATAATAATTAATAATAATAAAGAATAATAAATAATAATAAAGAAATATTTTCAGTAAATAATAATGACTTTTACTTACATGCAATCCTTTTATTATTTCTTCGACTTGTTGTACAATCATTTCAGGATCCTCAAGTTGATCTGCTTTTGGTCCGTAATCGTGGTTGGGCATCATCTTCGCTTTCTTAGGTTTGGTTGCGTTGTCAGGTTTTCCATCGAATAACCTTTTACGGCAAGACTTTTTTTCTGCACTGTTTACTTGTCGCTTGAGAAACGTCTTGAAATGTTGTCCAGGAGAACTGCCCGTAGCGTCCTTGTAGGGGCTGGTGTGCCACTCCGTTTTGCCGTTGTATCTGAGACCTGATAGTTGCACTCGTCTTTGATAGGATCCTCTCTGAATTAGATTTAACCTTTTCCCTTGGTTAAATCTGGCAACAATATTCATCATCCGCTCGACTGCATTGTTGTTCTGATTTTCGATCAGTAAGTGTGATTTTCTGGCCAGAAGGTCGAGGGCCCCTTGGAGATGATTGAACATTGATGTCATTTGTAGTTGTGGAATCATATTGTTTGTGGTGTCTCCAACAGAATTGCAAATTTCCGGTCGACAGAAGACATGGTTTCCATAAACGTGGTGAATGCCATTTTTTAAATCTGCCCTAAGTAAATTTTTGCCCTTTTTAGTAGAAGCTTCAATTTTTTCTCCGTCAATAATTTCCTACTCGCTAGGTCGATAGTTGTGTCTTTTTTTATTTCTCTAAGGCGTTTCCCATAATTCTTCAATGCATGGTTCGTACATTCAATTTTTTTCACATCAGTTCCATATGTCACTTTTTCCGCTATCTGCTTGAATACACTCGAGTCCCCGTCAGCTATAAATTTCATGTACCTAAGACCATGCATTTCTTCGCTAATGTTGAAACCTTGCACAACCATATCCGCCTCCATAGCTGGTGCTGAGTTGTCCCAATTCTTGTAGCAGACGTGTTCTTTGGTAGATTTGCAACCGTTTTCCGCTCTAGCACACACAGAGCAGAATTTGTTCCTGACAGCAGTGAAAAGTAGTTGTCCAGTGTTTTTTCCAATAATTGCCACCATTCCAGATAACGCATTATAATTTGTACCATAGGACCGTTTGCTCCACGATCCATCAACGGTATATCAACGTATATACAGGGTGTTCCATAAAAAAAATCTGCATTTTTATAAATAAGTCGAAAATGCGATGTTCATTTTTTCTGTTTTCGCCATTTTAATCAGCAGAAAAAACACTACTAGTTTGCAAATTTAACCGATCTTGTATCTCCAATAAAAAAAAAAGTTACCAATAGTGCCGACTTAATTTGAAACAAGGTGTATAAACAATAACATAAAAATAACTTACCGTTCATATTCGTCGGAAGAAGTTCTTTTTGTTGAAACGTCTTTTCAACGCTGGTTTCGCCGGTTTCCATGTGTCGGGTGTTGTCCTCTTGAGTTTCCTGGGTCTCCTGCTGAACATCTTGGATCTCCTGCTGAACTTCTTGGGTCTCCTGCTGAACATCTTGGGTCTCCTGCTGAACATCTTGGATCTCCTGCTGAACTTCTTGGATCTCCTCTTCATTTTCCTTCCGGATCCTAAAAGCGAAATAATATTTAAACGCTCATCGAAGTAGATCAATCGATCCATAACTTAATTGTTTTATATCTTTTATGGAAACAAGAAAAAATCACTGATATGAAAATCGCATATGCAATGAAACAAACAAAATGAAAAAGATTTTAAAACTTACATTTCTTCGGTTTCTAAATGCTGTTTTCCATCCCAGTAGAGTTGCTTGGTTTTCGCCTTCTTGCTTCTGCTTCTTCCGTAGCGGTTGTAGCGGGGCATCTTTCCTATTATAACTACTTACTAAATCTACTAATATTAACAAAAAATTTACTAATTAATTATTAAGTGTCTTTTTTCACAGTGGAGGGCAAGTCGTACTTGTACGTGGGGATATTAAATTACAACTAGTTCTTAAATTATTACAATAGAAAAATAAAAATATGTACTTATATAATAACAATAAATTTACTACCCTAATTGTAAATTATAAAAAATAAATGTAAATAAATAATAAGTGTCTATTATCACGTAGAAAAAGCGCGCAGATCGCAATAGATAGCACAGATAGCTAAAATAGCTAAAATAGCACAAATAGCACAAATAGCACAAATAGCACAGATAGCACAGATCGTAGATAGCGCAGATATGATACCACTTCGCACAGCTAATTGTACAAATGTACTGAATATTCCTGAATTGAATTAAATTGAAGTTCAATCCCGAACTTTAATTTAAATGTGGAGGTGGGGTTAATGGGTTTTCCCTTAATGGTCCTCTGCCAACTATATATTGATATAAAATCCCCTTAATGATAGCAAAAAATAGGGTTCACCTAATAGTATTAGCATCCATTTCCAAATACCTTTGCAAGTACATATTAGTGTGTTCAAGCTTAAAGGAAATGGAATTTCCAATTTTTAGTGAATTATAATTTGTACAGGATGATTCACAAGAATAGTTTGCTTCTATGTCTTATCCATTACCTCCATGTTTTACAAACGTACTTTTTACGTTTACAAAGTATAAATGATTTCGAAAGGGATACATGTCGAAGTACATGTGAAGACAAATATAGAAAATTGAAATAAACAAAGCAATTTTAACAGTACGAAGATAATAAAGATAACAGGAATTGAAGAAAAAGTTTGAAGTAAAATCATTCCACAGAGGGGAAAGAGAGAGAGAGAGAATTATCCTTAAATGGAAATAGCATAGAATCAAAGTAGTTTTAGAAAATAGTAACTTAAGAGATGGAGTCTGGAATTGATTCAAGGAAGGGCAATGAAAACCTTCATATAAAGTCGCCTGAAATACTAAAGCAGGAGACAGGATAAAAACTTTTCAAATTCTCAAATTTAATCATAAATAATTTATTTCAATTCCTTGTCGTACAATATTTTAAAGTTAAGTTCATCGAAGTCTTGTAGTTTTGTTTTGAATTAAATTGGGACATACGATATTTCAGTGAGTATTAATCCAAAAATACGGTTCAATTTGTGGGTGTTTACGCAGCGTGGTAAATTTCATTGAATTCGAATGAAATAGAAATTCCGTTTCATTAATAAAATCCCTTAACCAGAAATATAGAAAAAAAAGGATTGATCCCGTCAGGTGGCCCCCTTGTTAATCTCCTAGTTTATGACCCTTAATGACTTGTTAAGTTGGGAATACTTTATTGGATTGGATCTACTTTCAATATATCTGTAGGTGTTCATTTTCATCATTCCCAATAATATTAAATAATTATTAGGTAAATGAAAGGATTAGTTGAGCCTTCCTTACCCTATGCCGCGGCGGTATAAATTTTCGAAAATTGTTCAGAACTAAAAAATTAATATTTTCATTGTTTCTTGAGCAAAACGCTAGCAGCTTTTCTAATGACCTGGAAATACTTGTAAAAGTATATTTTAGGTATATCAACCGTTGTGACATTACAAAATTGAATTGAATATACCTATCAATGTATAGATAGAAGCGTCTTTTTCTACCAGTCTAATAATGAATATCTTACGCAACATTTTTTTCAGCGTGTAATAACATCCGGAATTTTCAAAAAGTTGATGCCAGTCGTTTAGGCTACAGTAAAAAAATTTAAAAATTTCTCATAGAGCTGATGTAATTTCTCAGAAACTGTGCTTTTCCTGAATTATGTTTATTGAGTGTTTGTTTTTCAATATATTTGATAGTAAAATCGCATCTCCCATATTGTCGCCTGCACGTACTTCTACAATATTACATAGGTATATACAATACAATACAGGGTGTCCCAATAAAAAGTAGCCCCTTTAATGAGCCTTTAATTAAAGCGTAAATTATTTATATAATTTAAGCCTAATCTAAGCCTAATCATAAAAACATGCGGTTTTCTCAAATATATTTTATTATATATATAATAAATCTCTTCTACTTTTCAAAAATATATTATTAGTAAATATTAATTCTAAAGAAGAAGTCCTATTTCATAAAATTTAGTTATTGTGAATTTTAAAGAGGGGTTTTTTATGAAACATCATGTGCAGGCGATACAAAATTTCTCTCAAAATAATATATATTTGTCAAAACCGTTTATTTTTATCATTAGGCGTTTAAAAAATAACTCACTGAAGGGGCTACTTTTCATTGGGACACCTTGTATTTTAATGAACGCTATATAATAATTACATGATTTTTAGTGACACCTGATACCATTGTAATATAGGTACCACTCGACAAAAGTTGGTCTTTCTAGCAATGATTGTACCTTTATTATTAATATATCTTTGTAATTGATTATAAAAATTAATAAATACAGTGTTTCAAATTTACATAATTTATAGTTTACAAAGTTAACTATATTCATTGCAATAAGAAATTGAAAGATAATAAACTAATAAACTATATAATATTTATATAGTCATTGATATTTGAAATAAAATTTGCAAATTAATATACCTATACGTATATCAAAAATGAAATTTGCAAATTCTAAAAGCAAAAATGCATTTTCGCCGCTACGAAAATAGAGAGAATATTCGCCAGAGTGTTAGGGGTCGAAAACGATGAGACGGAAAATAATAAACGACTACCTGCTTATGCAAATTTACTTTATTTACAATGCGACAATAACAATACATTTACTTTGAAAATAGTCTCTCAGATCCACTGCACTTGCGCCACCTGTTGGTACATTTTCTGAAATATCACTGGTTAAAAACCTGGCTAAAAATTTAATTTTGAGACAGCTAACGCCATCTGGTTCAATTAATGAAACTACAAAAAATTACTAGATTCTAGGGGCGATTGGTACGACTGATGAAGTGCTCAACGCCCCTCTTCACTTCGGTCTAAACTTCGAACTCGATAGCACGTGCTCACGACGGAGTTGCACACCCGTCTGTAACCTTTCTGATTTCTTAAATCAATAAATTTCTATATGTGAGAGGGTGATCGGATTATTATTTACGTGCTACCCCGTTACACGGTTTGTAGAATAATACGGTTGTCTCGTAACTTTTTAGCCAATCACGCACGGTATCTCGTGACGTCACAAGAATTCGAGTGGCAAATTCCGAGCATCTCAAGTGTAATGAAATTAATGTTTTTAATAATATTTATAGGGTAAAATATTATAAAAATTGAGACAATGGACAGGAATAATAACTAATAAAAGTATATTTTCCATAAATATATTAAAATTTAAAAGGAGACGGGTATTTTTTAAATTAAATGATAAATGGTTTATTTGTATACCTATTAAACGGTACATATTATTATAGTTATTTCGGGCCTTAAATTCTTAAATAAAACAAAGTATTACGACAAAATATATTTATATCAAAGTAAATATAAATAAACATTATAAACATATAAATAAACGAGATATATAATAAATAAACGATATGAGATGAAACGAATAAATATGAATAAACGATTTTAATTTTATTAAGTGCGGATCTGTAATTGTAATTTTTGTTGGTTTATGTGAATGGTAATTCAAGTTCAATAGGTCTATTTCAAGAATTTTCATGCAAGTGTTAAGTAAATCTGGTTTTATTAAAGAAAAAATAATTAAAATCCCTTCAATTACAATTTACATGGACAAAAAATCTCAAAATGTTCATTTTAACGTTTAAATTTTGGTAGAAAAACGGCATGCGGGAAAATAAAAAGTTGATGAATACATTCAGTTTTTTGTTTTTTCTGAATTTGAAATTAAATTTTTAAAAATATGATGTATAGGGTGTTGTTTTAGGGTCGGTCAAATTTTATTAATTTTTCTAAATCCGGACCTGGATTTTGTAATTTTTTAATGTGGCAATGAATTGTACTAAAGGTATAGAATATCTATGCCAAATATCAAAAAAATATACTGAGTGATTCAAAAGTTATAGGTGTCGAAAGAAATGGGCCAAATTCAAAAAACACCCGGTTATAACTCGGTTATAAAGGGCGGAAGATCCATAGTATATGGGTTTTTTGTAATCCCCTGCATTTCTTTAATGTCCCCCCCCCCTTTTATTTTTTGAACGGATCAACTTAGAAAATTGAAATTTGGGATAATGAAACTAATGCATGATTACTATATTTTGGAGTAAAATTGACAGATGAAAATTTCAAGATGGCGACTGGGCGCCATCTTGGGAAATAAATTTAAATGGAAAGGGGGGTCTTGTGATACATCATTTTGAAGCTCCTGACAAATACTCTACAACCCTGAAATATAAAGTCAATATCTGCACCTGCTACAAAATGGCGGAACATTTAATAATTACCTGAATACAAACAAAATAATATCAATTTTTCTAGAAATATTTGTTTTTCTATGGCAAACAGCAATCCCAGCAAACCGATAAGGTTTGACAGGTTATTTTTGGTTAAAAAAATTCCAAAAAATTTAAGTACGACAACGAACATTAATTTTTTAGTCAAAATATGCTCATTTAGTTTTTGGTTTTCCTAGTGTTCAAAATATTCTCTTTAGTTTTCGATTTTCCTAGTGTTCAAAGTATTTTCATTTAGTTTTCGGTTGTTTAGTTCTCATTGCAGTTAGGTAGCACGTCAACTAACTCTAAAATGGCCAATTCTCGTCCATTGGAAGATGGACCACCACCACATTACTCCAGACAAGTAATGAACTATTTGGATGCTATTTTCCCTGGTCGTTGGATCGTTGGATTGGTCGTCGAGGTCCTACGGAATGGATTTGACCAGAATTTGACCAGATTTGACACCTTTAGACTTTTTTCTATGGGGCTAATTGAAGCAAAATGTGTACGAAACTAAACCTGCTTCAATATTGG